AAGGGAGAAGTCCCAGGTTTCTAGCTGACCTTCTCCCAGGGAGATGCTGAGCAGTGCCTGGGCGGGGGGGGAGCTGGTAGGTCAGGTAACCCCTGGATGCTGGGAATGAAGGCAGAAGGAAAGGGCACAGGCAGCCAGAGATCACAGAGCTCCAAGGCGAGGGTCTGTGCCACGGTCCGGAGCTGGCAGGGATGGTTTGGAGGCAGGAAGCACGTCAGCCTGGTTGCTTTACTCATTAATTCCTGCCATGCCAAAATGCAGCAGCGTCCCTCCCCGAGCGCTTTTCCCCGTGGTGGAATACATGTGCTCGCTCGGATTACTCATGGCTGGCTGCGCTTTCCATTCGCAACATATTGTTTGACAAATGTCAATTCTGCAGAAAAAAGCATTTTTATGATTTCTTCGAGACAAAGTTTCAGATTTAACATTGAGCAGATGCTCTGTCTAAAATTAGCATAATGATTCCTCATGCCTGTTACTTACAAGGACATGTGTCTTTAATGGAAGTGTTGGAATAATAATGAAACTTTGCAGTGATTTTTTTTGGGGGGGGGCATAATTGAATATTCTCCCACATGCTTTTGAAATGTTTAACAAGCACAGGGACCTTTTGCGTTAAGGAACGTTGTTATTCCCGTTTTGCAGATGTGGAAAGTGAGACACAGAGCTCCTGCAGTGCCTGATGTCCAGGATGGAAGCAAGCTGGGGAGAGCAGAGCTACGACAGGGCGTGAGAGGGAGGAACTGAAGCCAAACCAGTGCTGCCCTTCAATGGGGGTTTGGTGACGGGATGGCAAAAGAAGGGATATGGGCTTCCTGGGGTCAGTCTTCCAAATAATCTCACCCCAGGAAAGGTGCCTGGTGGGATTTCTAAAAGCAGGGGAGGCTCAGGGCTTGCCAGTGGTGCTGAGTGACCTAAAACTTCTGAAGATCTTATTTCGCTTTTAGGGATTTACAGTTCAGGTTGTAAAAGGTTGTTAAATGTGTCTGAAATGTGTTTGATTCACTGGTTTTGGCTACTGTAGCTTTCCCAAGGGGAAAGGATGACATGAAAACCGTGTTCCCTGTCTCCTATTCAGTCAGGAGTGTGATTGCCCATAGCTGGGCATAGGGGCTTTAATAAAAACTAAATACACAACAGCATTTGTAGGTCCCCAGACAGGTGAAGTGACCTGTTGATAACTGCACAGCAAATCTGTGAGAACTCATGTGAAAATCCCTGGTTCCTTTGCTTTCTTATACCTAAAGGGGCTCCAGGAAACCTGGAGAGGGGCTTTGAACAAGGGGCTGTAGGGACAGGCCAAGGGGAATGGCTTTAACCTGCCTGAGGGGAGACTGAGATGAGCTCTTAGGCAGAAGCTCTTCCCTGTGAGGGTGCTGAGGCGCTGGCACAGGGTGCCCAGAGAAGCTGTGGCTGCCCCATCCCTGGCAGTGTTCAAGGCCAGGTTGGACACAGGGGCTTGGAGCAAGCTGCTCTAGTGGAAGGTGTCCCTGCCCGTGGCAGGGGTTGGAGCTGGGTGAGCTTTAAGGTCCCTTCCAACCCAAACCAGGCTGGGGTTCTGATTCCCACACTGTAGCAAAGGGGTTCTTTGGGGGAACCTCCTTTCCCAGTGAGTTACTCAAACAGCAGCTCGAACAGTCACGGATATGGAAAAGCTCAAAGTCCTGACCATGCTTTTGGCTTCTCTTAATGCATTTTAGCAGCAGGGAAGAGAAGAGCGAGTTAGGGACCAGCTGGAAGAGCACAGAGCAAATAGAGCACCAAGGGTGCTCCGAGGAGGAGCACAGCGCTGGGAACTCCTCCACAGCAGCAGGGGTGGTGGAAAAAGCAATAGAGCCCAAAACCAGAGAAGTGGGAACAGATTCAAAGAGGTTTTTCAGGCAGCGGGTAATTTGTGCACACCCTGGGCCACGCTGAGGTGAACAGGAGTGGGGTGAAGGCAGCGTAACCAGACTAAACACCAAGGGGAGGGAAAGAGGCTGAGCTTTAAATGAGATGTGGTTGTTTAAACCTGACCTGAGGACAGCCCCTTTCCTGACTAAATGCTGGGTTCTAACAAAGGATATCCACAAAACTGCTGGTCACGGCCTGAACTTAACCCTCTGTGTTCCTGACCCTGCGGTGGGAAGAGGAGTCTCAGGGGAGCCTGGTCCTTCCTTTTCCCATCCAAGCAAAACCACGCTCTTCCACCCAGGAAAAGCCACCAGGACCAGGCAAACACCTTTGTGTTGGTTGCCCTGAATGGTGGTGTTTGTGCTCAGGGGGAAAAATACCTGGACCTTTTTGGGTGTTGGAGCACAGAGCTCAACCTCCACGATTGTGAAAAGGATGTTTGGGTGTTTGATGGGATGAGCACAGTAAAGGAGGCTGGTTAAAATCATTCAAACCCTGAATGTGCCCGTGTTTGATGTTCTGTGGTGCACTCTTAAAGCAATGTTAGCACTTTGCCAGTGTTTTCCTGAATTCCTGGGGCTGTGTCTTCCAAGGAAGAGAGAATTTATCATAACAGAAGTGCTGAAGCCTCTCACAGTCACTCCAGGCTGGGAGATGATACTTCAGTAAGTCCTTCTCACAGCTCTCAGTTCATCCCTGTGCACAGAAGGAAGGAAGGAAGACGGTGGACGTCAGGAGGAGATGATCTGTCTGGCCTAGTGAAATCAGAACCATCATGAAGCTGCTGATGAAATCCTAGGTTGGTTTGGGTTGGAAGGGACCTGAAAGATCTGAGACTTATGCAGTAACTGAGATGTAGCTGATTTTAACCCACTGTGACATGGAGTAAATGGGACATTGCTTTGGTGGCTGCTTTTGCTTCTGATTAGGGGTCCCTGTGTTTCTGTCCATGCTACTATGAGCTCTACTTCATCTATTACACGTCTGTCCATACCCTCAAGTTGGATGCTTGCCGTATGCAGTCCCTTCTATTGCCACAGTCCCCTGGGCAGTGTGGGTTGTGTTAGCTGGCCTTGAGGTGACAAACCTGCTTTTACTGCTCCTGGCCCACCAGAGCTGGGCTGTGCAGAGCTCTGGATGCGATCTGCTCTCCATGGCCAGCAGCAAACGGGATGTGCAGCTGGGGCTGGAACCCAGCGTCTGGGATGGAGCAGCTCAGTAATTGCAGCCAGTTCGATGTGAGAGCTGGCTCGAGGGGGGAATACACCCAATTTCAGTGTTTATCAAGTGAGGTTTGGGAGGGTAGAGGCCATTCCACATGCACTGGTTGAGAGTCCTTGCGGGCCAGTTAGCGTATCCAGTGTCTGACTGCATCCGTACAATTCCTTAAGGACCTTAAGCAACTGCACCTGCTGACACCAAAGTGACTCAGGCTGAGCCTGGAGCAGCTTGGGAACAAAATTAAACAAATAAAACTATGGAGCATTTTTACATCATGCTCCAATGCTCATTCCTGCCTGAAATGAGAGGAGCTGAAATTGGGTGTGAAACCGGGCTATTGAGGGAATTGAAGCGCATGTGTTACACGGTATTTGTATTACAAAAGCATTCAGGGGATGCAGTTGACGTGGAGCTTGCTCTGTGGCTGGTTGGAGATGGGCCAGGCGGGTGTTTCGATAGCGGGTTCCCAGTCATTCATTCTCCTGATGAGCAATGTGCTGTTTGCTGAGCAAAGTGACACCTCTGTTGACGTTCACCCCAAAAAGCACATCCGGTGAAGTTTCTCATTTGGCTGCCAGTGTAATTCCATCACAGAGACTTCGCATCATTGCTATTTCATCATTAGGTGACTTTTCTTTTGGCCTAACCCTGACTTGATAAAGTCTGGAGTCAGATAGGAACATCGGCTTGGTAATAGTGGGGGTTCTGAGGGGTCAGGGTGTTCAGGGATTTTTTTGTGCTGCCTGCCTTAGAAAAGGAGCGCTGAGATGCAGTTTCGGCCAAGCCAGCTCTGGGGTACAGCTACTTCTGCTTTCTTCTACCCCCCTCCCAGCCTGCTGCTTCCCAGCTGTTTGGCCTGGGGTTGTCTGACTCCGTCCTCTGAGCTCATCTCAGGCTGCCCAGAGCCGGGATGCCGGTGGGAGCCTTAGGCCATCATCCCAGAGAAGTGGGACGGGGCTCTGCGGATCTCGGGATCTCGCCTGCCTGCTCGTTTTGCCTTGCCTGCAGCAGAATGAAGGAGGACTTTGTCCTTCTCCCTTTTAGCGCAAGGGCTCAGGCTTGCAGATTGCTACGGCAGTGATAACTTATGGGGAAAAACAAAAGGAAAAAAGGGACAAAAAGAGGAAAAGGAGAAAAAAAAATCTGACTGCGTTTGGGGTAATCGGGGCCGTCGAGGGGGTGCCGGACCCTCTTTCCCCCTCCTCTCCCTGCCGCAGCAGCGGGCGGAAGCGGACGGGTCCCTCTGACCCCCCCTTCCCCGGTTGCAGCCCCCCTTCCGCTTCCCAATCTCGAGGGAAGCTGCTCGGGCTGCCCTCAGGTCCCCCCCCCCTCAGATGGGGGAGCGGGATTGCCGGGACAGAGCGGGAGGGGATGAGGAGGAGGAGGATGTGGTGGAGGAAGGCGGCGAGGGAGGGATGGATGGAGAGGGGAGGGAGGCGGCGGGGCGGGCGAGCCGCGCTGGCAGCACCGTGCCGGCAGCGCGCTCCCTCCGCCGGGCCGGGGCTGCTTCCTTCCCTCCCGGGCTCCAACGGCACCGGCTCCTGCAGGCAAGAAGCCGCTTTTGTGATGGAAAGCGCTGGGAGGTGGGGGGGGGGGGGGAACGACGCGGACCACGAGCATCTCCGACCCGCTCCTGCGGTCCAGCCCGGCGGAGTCTCGGTTCCCCCGTCCCCGCTTGGGGCTGCGGGGACCGGGCAGCCCCGGCAGCTCCTCCCGCAGCATCCGGGGGCCGCAGGATTCCCTTGTCCGCTCCGAGAGCCCCGGCAGCTGCTTGACAACAGGAAACAATGTGTAGTGAATGGAAAAAGGGGGTGGCGCCGGCTGAACAACTTCCCTTTACATCACTGCCCAAATAAGGAGCTTTAAACTCACCTTTTCTGTTGCAGCCCGGCAGAAGATCCCCCCGGAGCCCCCGGTCCCCACCGCCCGGCGGGCAGAGCCATGGGAGAGCCGCGGCTGCCGAGCGGGGGGCGAGCGCAGGTAACGGACCCGGTCCTGCTTCCAGGTTGCGGGACGGGGATGAGGGGGGGGTACGAGCTCTACTCCATAGATACACATTATTAATTATTCCTCGTATCTGCCGTGGAGAGGGAAGAGCAGCCGGTGAGGTGTAATTACGAGCACTTGTAGCAGGCGGGCACAGGATGAGGTCACCGCAGTGAGTAACGCGGAGTTACGGGATGTCGGGTTACTCCGCAGTGTAAACACCGAGGGGTTGTTTCTCTTGATCCGGCGCCAGGCAGCCCTGGCACTGGCATGAACTGTTCCGCTCTTAATTGGCGGCCACCTCTAATTAACGTCCTGCGAGCTGGCGACTCGGACTGGCTGCACCATGGGGCAGGGGTGAGCTCTCTGTCCGGCTGTCTGGGACGGATTTCCTCCTTATCGCTTGCACAGGAAGGCAAGCGGGGAGCAGAGGGGTTGTTCCCGGGCCACACGTGATGTGAGGGAGAAGCAGTGTGAGTGAATTCCCTGGGCGAGCTCCTGGCAAACTGGTTTTCCCAATCCAGAGCCCAAATTACCTGCTGGGCTGCTGCAAGGAAGCCAGAGGGGTTGGATGCAGGGAAGGAGGAAGACTCCTCCTGTACCTGGGGCTGACCCTCTGTGTGCTTCATCCTTTTCAAGTGTCTCTCGCTGCTGAGCACCTGCACATCAGCATATAATGAGGCAGCTTTAAAAATGCATTAAGTCTGAGTAAATGGGCGCTAACAATTTAAGCTTCTTAATCCTCCTCGATGGAAATGAATAACGCTTTGGATGCACCCAGAGGTGTGATCAGAGATGCAGACACGCGCTGAGCCGCGCTATGCAAATGTGGGGATCATTATTCCGGGAAAAGGCACCATGCATCGTTTTATGTCGCTTTTCCTCCTTGTTCTGTAGCTAATCCCCTCTATCGGGAAAGCACCAGGCACTTTTACCCAGTTCCACTCTGGCAAGTGGAAATGTCTGGAGCAGCTGACATGGTGATTTATGGTGTGAGCAATAGAATCCAAGTCCAGCTCCGCTGCTTGAGGATAACCTGTTGCTTACAGGCTTTTGGTTTCCCTGGTGTTGAAAGATGAGGTGTCAGCGTGCAGAGCCAGGTTTAACCTGCGCTGTCTGGATGTCCTGATAGTCCCTTTGTCGGAACTCTCATCTCTCTTACTCGTTTGGCTTCAGGGCTCCTCGAGGAAGCTGTTTGTGCTTGTTGGGGACTGTCATGCTTTTCTCAGTGCTTCGGGAACTTCTTTCTGGTTATTGTAGGAGAGCTTTCACAATGCTGTCAGAGTGTTTCCCTGATAATAGGTGGGATTTGTGTGGGGTGGGATGTTGTGGTTCTCACTTGGCTTCCCCATCCCTGGAAATGCTCAAGGCTAGGTTGGAGGGGGCTTGGAGCAACCTGGTCTAGTGGAAGGTGTCCCTGCCTGTGGCAAGGTTCCTTCCAACACAAACCAGTCTGATTTATGATTCCATGAAGAGGCTCCAAAGCCCATTGTAATGCATCTCATTGTCCCCATCCCCTTCCTGCTTCTCCCTTCTTAGACACAGGTCAAACTGAAGGGCTGCAAGAAATATGATTTATTTCATCCCTGGAGAATTAACCTTCAGTGGAGGATGCAGAGGTACTGTGTAGATGATGGGGGTTGATGTGTGCTGTCCTGACTTGCTTCTGAGAAGATAAGCCACATGCCCCCAAGGCTTGCCATGGGGCTTCTCGGACTGGTGAAAGATTCACTGCAGTCTTTATTAAGGAAATGGAAAAGAAAATGCGTCGAGGACTTGTGTAAACTGTGTGTCACAGAAGAGGCTTTGAGAAGTTACTGGTGGATTAGCTGATGAAATGTGTTGCCACCAAACTGCATGTGGCAGGTCTGGGCTTTGTGTCCTCTGGGGCACATTCAGCATGCAAAGTGCTGTTGCAGCCCCTGAGAAATGCCTTTGAGGAGCCCTCTCCTCTCCTAGGGAGCTCTTGCAGCAAGAAGGAAAGGGACTTATCACTGTACCCTAACACACAATGGGCACTGCATATTTCTCTGTGTCAGACATCATGTTTCAGAAACGCGTACGTCCCTCTTGGAGCTTCCGTAGTGCACAAGGGACAAGGTTCCTTCACCCCTTGCCCTCATAAGTGGCAGAAAAAAGGCGAGACAGGACCACAGGCTCTGCTCATTTGCTTTTCCTGACCGAGCAAAAGCACGTTCTTGCAGCTGGGGTGGAGGAAAGGGGGCGGGGGGGGGGGAGGCAAACTCAGAAATGTTTGCAGTTTGCTCCTGAAAAATAGCCGTCAATAGAATAGCTCAGTGTTCAGCCGGGGCAGTGTGAGCGTGATCGGATGTGGGGGACTACTGAGGGATCCGGTGGGGTGAGTCCCTGCAGAAACGCTCTCGCAAACCAGATTTATCCTGAAGTTCCCAACAAAAGCGCTGTTGAGAAAGCTGCGGGGATAAGGCAGCGCTGACATGGGTGGGTGAGCAGGAATCGGAGAGAGCCGGGAAGTGTATCCCGCCTGGGGAAATCACCGCCGCCGGCCTCTTGATTGGGTGGCAGGTCATTAATGAGGGGCTCCTGGGAACTCCCTTGCCGTACGTCACTGGCGAAGTCCCATGGCCCCATCGGGTAGCTCCTTCTGCGTTAGGAAAGCTGGCTTTCCCCCCCCGGCTCCCCTCCGCACTGAGGTTCCTGCTGGCTCCGAGCTCGGAGGAGCTCTCCCGGCATCACTTACGGCCACATTTGGCTGCACGTGTTGAATGCAGGAAGGGTTTCAGCAGACTCGCCGTTCCTAAAGCACTTTAAAGCGGTTGCTTTCTCGGCAAGGGGGTTCAAACTGAGGGGGGAAAACCCCAAAACCCTCTGGAAAAGAAAGCGATTGATTTAAAATGTACATTCAACGTTATTGCCTCTGACTTTAAAGAAGCTGCTTGTTAGTAGATCTTGATAGCTCTGCTGGGCTCGGCAGGCAGTAGGGCCAGTTGGGATGCAGGGATATTGTGTTTTCCATCCTGCCCATTACACTTTGCTGAATTCTTCCCACCTTTGGTTTGTTAATCCGCTCCGGTTTCTCACTGGTGCTCCCTCTCCTGGGCTCTGCCGAGACCACCTTGCATGAGGACAGTTGTGATTAGTGCTCCCGCTGTGCTAGGACTTGAATGCAACAAAATGGGCTTTCCCAGGCCGGCTTTGCACAGTCAGCTGGGATCTCGGTGCCTATAATCGGTGCAGTAATCAGAATGGAGATTTTTATCCTGCCGGGCTCTAATTACACGCCTGCATAAGGTGAACCTTTTAATGAGCGTCAAAAGACGCATTGTGTGTCAGGGAGGGCCCGTGTTCAAGGGACTAAGGGATTATTCAGTCATTCAAAAAACATTTGCTGAAAGTAAATGTGCAATAAATCTTCCTTATCCTCTACACAGCCTCATTTTCTTCGCAAAGCCCTGAACCAAGCCCAACCCCTCCTCCTTAGGAAGTCCAGGCTGTGTCTAGCCCGTGTAGCACTGATTCTTCCATACTGCCCACTCTTCTGAGCTTTCTGAGAAGGTGAACAGGGATTGCATGTGCAGGAGGGTAAGGTGAGGAAACCAGTGTCAGAGCTCAATGAGATGAGCAGAGGCATCCCTGAGCCTTAACCACGTGGAAATCCTCTGAGAAGCCTTTTCCCTTAGAGGAACGGTATCTAAACCGTTTAAATGCATCTAAATGGTGTTTTTGTAGCCCTTCTGTTTTTCCAGTTGTACGGAAAATTCATCCTGGGGACGCTTTTCTTCCTGGAAGCGCTCAGCCACTTTGGAGCGGGGATAGCTAAGAGGAAAACATGAGTGAGATCAAGTTTTCCTACCTTCCCAAAATGGACTTGCTGTAAGCACGGACTGCTTGTTCCTCATTGCCTTGACACCCGTGTACCATCTCGCGTAGGCACAAAGCCTTGCGGGGCTGTAGGAGCGAGCAGGGGGGTCAGCCACTGGCACAAGCTCAGAGCAGAGCATCTTCAGCGTGGTGGGAAACTTCATTATACATTGATGATATGAAAATCTTTCTTATGCAAATGAGGTTTTCGGTTTCAGCAGCTCCTCAGTCTCCAGATCCTAAGTTGACTTTTCCATGCCACTTATCCAGACCTTTCCTTCTTCCTTCCTCAGACTTTGGAGGGTCGCCTGCTCATTAAACCATTATTCAGGCTTTGCAGCCCTGAGAGGCTGTGGGGTTTCAATTATTTCTGCTTCTCCATTAGACCTACAGATTTTAGGCAGAAAGGCGAAGTGTGTCAGAAATTGGCTGGATCCGGCTGAATTCAGACATAGGATTTGGGTTTCTCTGCTAATGTTGGTCTCAGATGCACTGGGACATGGAGGGGTTTGCTGAGCCCTCATTTGGTGGTGCAGTGTAGAGGGGAAACCTCAGAAGAATCCAGTGAAATTAAGCCTGGCCCTTTTCCCAGCAAACCTGGTTCCCTGGATTCTTTACTGCCACGCTCCTACATCCAGACTGAAATCCAGCTTCTGCATTGCTTAGGTGGTCTCTCCTCAAGGGCAGTTCATCACTTCACAGAACTCAAAAGGCACAAAACAGCCAAAACTCTTAATTCTATAACCACCTTCTATCACTTTTCATAAGAATTACTAGTGAATTTAAATCCCAGGAATACATGGACTGGCCTTTGTCCTCAGTTGTATGATTATTCTCTTGATACCCCTGTCTATCCTCAGTATCATAGCAAACTCTGAGCCAGTGATGACAAAGGGACCCAAGGGGTGTTGTGAGCTGCTTGTATTCCTGATTCAGGTCTTGGGGTAAAAAGCCAGCTAGAGAAGTCTATGGCTGGGCTGCTGCACCCCAAAAGTAACAAGATAAGTTGTGGGTTTAATGCTATAGAGGTCAGTGTCGCACTGCATCTGCCGCCTCCATCCCTTTCATCTGGTGAAGGTGAATGTGTGGTTGTTATTTAGATAGTGGGGTTCACAAAATAGGTTGTGAAACTCGGGGCTTCTAGAAGCTTTCAG